GCTCGACAAGACATCCAAACAAACAATAAAAAGCCATAATAAAAACAATTAGCCGGCAAAAGAAACAATACTTAAGTACTTGCCGCGTCAAAATGCCCGTAAGAATTGTGCCACCCGCGACAATGGAACTGACTTCGAGAGAGAGCAACGAAGGCTCCATCGAAACTTCTTTAAAATCAGCACATAAAAAATAAAATTAAGACAAACACACCATTCCCAAAAACCAATAACAGCTTTAATACGAGTAACATTTACCGTTGATAAAGCCAATGTCCAGTACATAACAAAGAAATGAAAAAGCTAACTTCATACAACGCACGAGTACATCGAGCTTACGTTTGGATTGTCTGCAACGCTCCTCGCCAAAAGTTGTCAAAGCATTCAAAAACGCAGAGTTTCTCTTCTTGGCAATAACTGCATTGTACAAGCTACCCAGTGACAAGTCTTCTTACTCGTTGATGGCGAAGTATTTTTAAAACATCGAGCTCACATCACGCCGACCAGCCGCCATGATTCGAAAACAGATTGAATTGGTGCGCGCATTGGCTTATGGGATACGGCATTAAAATTTCTTTCCCCAGGCCCCCGCAATGACGTCACAGAACACCTAGATAGACAGACAGTGACAGAGACAGATAAACAGATAGTGACAGTGACAGTGATAGTAATAGTCATAGTGATAGCGATAGAGACTGTATATTGTACTAATGGTTTATCTGTTGGGCAGTGGATCAAGCCGTGTCCAGGTTCAAGCAATTACTGAATGGTTATGACATTGTATTCTTACGTTACTCCTTATATTTCTTGTTAAATGCTTTAACAAGCAACTGACCATTCAGTAAAAACAATTATTTTATTATAGGCAAAAACCTACTCAGAATAGTTAGAAAACTAAACAAGCTATGACGCTAAACGGGAGACTTTCAGTCCTTTTTGTACTCAGTATAATTTGTCACTTACCACTGCTGCACACGTAATTTGAGAAGCGTCAAGGCCAATTCCCTTTTTTTTTTTTTTTTTTTTAGGAAATGGACCTTTTTAATCTGCAGGAGACTAAGGATGAAGCCACATTTTGCTGCAAGACGAGCAGATTTGTGGCTAAAGTTGTAATTTCAAGTTTTGGTGAAAAGGTAAAATAGCCTCCTCCAGAGGCCATGTACTTTTTTTGAGTCGCTTCTCTCAAAAGCGAGGATTACTTGTTGGATTGATGGGTTGATTGTTTGCTTGTTTGATTTTCATTTTGTTGTTGCTGCAGCTGTGGTTGCGTTCGCTGTTTTTGAAAATGATGGTGAAACAGCCATTGAATACGCTGCGAGCAATTTGTTTCCCCTACGCCGACGCCATAGAAACACTTTAATTTGCCAGTCAATAGGGCTGTTCTCAGTCTTAAGAGACATTTTAATGACACCTTGAGATTGTATTTAAGTATGGGCAGGCTATAATTTACTGGAGGCAACATCCGACATACTTTCTTCGTTAGTAAGTAGTTCATATGGACCTTCGATAGCAGAAATCATTCGGTTGACCCCTGCTGTCACGGGCGCATGGGCTGAGTGTGGTACGTGACGTTGCGAGGGGGGGGGGGGGTTGGCGAAAGGGGAGCGGTTGGAGGTTTCATCAGCCACCCCCGCCCAGTTTCGGATACGGTAAAATGTAAAACTTTTTTCTGTGTCGTTGCGCCTGTTCTTAGTTATCAGTAGTTGACTCCTCGAAGTCTTCCTCGGTTCGAGTGTAGTTTAGCGAGTACTAGGTTTTTGTTTAAGAGTAGTTGTAGTGACATCACTTGACACTTCATTCGCGAGAGCTTATCTGTTCATCGCTGGAGCTGCCAGATGATCTGTTTCTGTGATTCTTGATCAAATTAG